AATTGCAAGGTCAGTTCAGATATAATTTATTTGGTCGGGTCTCTCATTGATTTCGACATTGAGCTAATCATACTGAGGATAATTTAAAGCTGCTTTATCATTGGCCAACTCATCACCTGCGTCAGTGGTATATTTCGTCGGGTATTTGTTTATTCCACACATTAAAAGCAGCACTTGTGAACGTTATTTTTAAAGACTATCTGTCATTTACCGATTAAGCTGTTTAATTAGTGTTTTAAATCGTTTGGTCAATATTTTAATTCTAAGTTCTCATTGGTTAATACTACACCTATAAGAGTTTTTAATTGCTTGACTTGTATCTGTTTCTAAATCCCCTTGTGAAATATTTTAAAGCCGTTTTATCATTGGTTAATGTAGTAACTGCGCTAGTGTTTTAAAACTGGGGATAGCATCTATTTATATCTACATCCAACCTATCGTATTGCAGAAAATTTTAAAGCAGTATTGTCATTGGCCGACTCAGCAGCTGAATGTCAATACAGCTGAGTGTCGACGTATCGCTGGGATGGCATTTTTGAGAATGTGTGTTGCCTTCGTATATTCAGCCAGACATGTGTTGCTCCTTGAGTATAGGTGAAGGACTTTTATGTCAAGTGTATATCTCAGAGTAAATACATAGTGAGGTATATTCATCAGCTGACTTGTGTAACCGGGGGGGGGGGGGGGGTGTAGCTTCGTATATGAGGTATATAAATAACACGTGGTATATACTCGTATGTATTTAGTTATTTAGTTTTGTAATTGCTTGTGTATTTAATGTATTCAGTTATTATTATTATTATTTTCATTATTATCATTATTGTTATCATCATTATATTCTTATTATTATTACCAATTTTAATACTACTAGCAATATTTTTTTTCATTATCATCATTATTACTATTATCCTTATTATTACTCTCATCATTATTATCATCATTATCATTACCATTATCAACGTTATTATTTGTGTTATCTCCTGTACACAATATACGTGTTGGGTATTTTCTATCTATTCCCAGGTAGGTAGACAGTGAGTCCTCCCCAGCTGTGGTGTTCCTCCTGGGAAACACAGCTGTCAAGTTCTCGCGTATTTCTTCACTGATTTCATTTTCCTGGATTTTCTTCTTTTTTTCCTTTTTTGTTTTTTTTTCGTGTTTTATGTGTGATATTTTATTGTGTTTTTTTTGTATTTTATTTTATCGTGGTTTTTTATTTCGTCTTTTTTTTCGTTTTTATTGTTTTATTTACCATCTTTTGTTTTTAGTTTTTATTTGTATCTTGTTTATTATATTGTTTAGATATTTTTGTTTGTTTTTATTATATATGTTATTTTATTTTGTTGTTAAATTGTCTTTTTGTTGTATACTTCCGTCTTTTTGGGGATATTTTTCTTTATTTCTTGTCTTTTTCCTTTTAGTCATTATTTTTTATTATTTTTTTTGCCTTTGTATGTTTTTCTTTCTGTGTTTTTTCATATGGATGTTAAGTGTATTTTTCTTATAATTTTTTCTTTGTTTCTGTTTTTGTCTTTACTTGTCTTTTTTTTCACTTTTTCTTTCACTGTTTTATCTTCACTTTCTTTATCAATGTTTTTCTTACTTTATATATTATTTAAGTTTTTTTTTACCTTTGTCTGACTCATGTGTATTTACCCTGATCGTACAGTACCAGTTATACCGAGCGAGTACTTTAACCTTTCTATCTCTCATGTAAGTTAATATCACTCACTGTATAATAATCTCCAAGTCCTCCTCGGGTCGTGGTACACATTAACGGCGTCAATTTGATCAAAGGTTCGATTCATCACTTGTGTCACTCAGGTGTTTACGTCACCTGTGTAGAAACCTTTCCCCAGGTGTGTTGATAATGACTGTCCATTTTTTACAGTATGTCTGTGTATATATATTTGACTGTATATCTGTCTGTTTGTATATGTCTCTCTCTCTCTCTCTCTCTCTCTCTCTCTCTCTCTCTCTCTCTCTCTCTCTCTCTCTCTCTCTCTCTCTCTCTCTCTCTCTCCGCAAATGCCCACGAGCAGCCATCTTGTTCTCGAGGTTAGGAGGAGGAGGAGGAGGAAGGACTGGCCAAGTTACACCTCAGTCTTCCTTGACCGATCACCGCCATCCATCTTGAGGCTGACTGTCGCCTTTAACACTCTCTCTCAAGCACGTCTTCCCTCTCTCAAGCATTTTTCCCCCCATCTCTCAAGTACTCTCTCTCTCTCTCTCTCAAGCTCTTCTCTCCCCCTCTCTCAAGCACTTCTCTCCCCCTCTCTCAAGCACTTCTTCTCTCTCAAGCACCTTCTCAAGCACCTTCCCCCCTCTCAAGCACTTCCCCCTCTCTCAAGTACCCCCCCTCGTGTTCTCCTGCTTGATTGTCTACCTGTTTGTTTACCTGTTTGCTTTTGCACTTGTCTGTGTATCTACTTATTTGCATTCTAACTTGCTTGCTTATACACATTTTTTTCCAGTACACACCCATGCTTTTGTGTACATTCCAATGCTTTTTAGTACACTTACGCTTTTTAGTACATTTCTATGTTTTCTTGTACACTTTTATGTTTTTTTACACTTGTTTGTTTACTTATATAGTTGTTTGCCTTCCTTCGCGCTTCCTTGTTTGTTGACGTGTTTGCTTGTTTGTGTACCCGAGGGCTTTCCTTGAGCGCTTCCTTCCTCCTCTGCTCTCGTCATTGTCAAGCAGAGGCAGGAGAGGAGAAATTCAATATCTTAGAGAGCTTCCTGGTTGTGCCCGCCTTCTCCTCCTTCCTGGTGAAAGTTTTACTGTTGTGAAAGTTCAGGAGGATGTTTTTACTCTCAAGCTAACTGTTAATTTTATTTATTTAATTATGCTTGTAATATTTTTAATTTATCCGTACGTACCGTTATTTTCATCGTAATATTTGTACTTTCACACAGTAAGTGCTTAAGTGAAAGTACGTCTACAGTATAAGCCTGATGGTCCGTTAGGGGCGGTACGGATGCAGTACACTGAGTAATAATCATCTGGAACACAATTAGGCAATTTGGCTGGCACTACACTCGGTTACTTTCCCTTCTCTAACTATAAAATTAGGTACCCATTCCCAGTTGGGTGGACTGGGGATCCCCCGTGAGCGAATCATTAACCTTTATGGTTGGAGATACAGTGAGAGAGAGAGAGAGAGAGGTGGATAAAGATAGAAAAAAGAGAAGAAGAGAATCACGATTAATAACAACTGATAATAGAACAGATAAACAAAGACACACACTTGATAAACTGTAAAGTGGGTGATCATCCCCACGCTCCTGTTATCGTCGCCACACCTCTGTTATCGTCGCCACGCCTCTGTTATCGTCGCCACACCTCTGTTATCGTCGCCACGCCTCTGTTATCGTCGCCACACCTCTGTTATCGTCCCCATTTCCAGACATGAATGAGTTATCTCCTTTTGTCGAGGAGGTGTGTTGCCCTTCCCTCACACACCCTGTAGACAATGCTCACAAAAGTTCCACGTGGGTTTGTTTACTTTAGTTCCACGTGGGTTTGTTTACTTTAGTTCCACGTGGGTTTGTTTACTTTAGTTCCACGTGGGTTTGTTTACTTTAGTTCCACGTGGGTTTGTTTACTTTAGTTCCATGTGGGTTTCTTTACTTTAGTTCCACGTGGGTTTGTTTACTTTAGTTCCATGTGGGTTTCTTTACTTTAGTTCCACGTGGGTTTGTTTACTTTAGTTCCACGTGGGTTTGTTTACTTTAGTTCCACGTGGGTTTGTTTACTTTGAAAGGCTTACTAGGTCAGCTGATGGATCCGGGTAGTAGCTATTGTGTGTGTGTGTGTGTGTGTGTGTGTGTGTGTGTGTGTGTGTGTGTGTGTGTGTGTGATTTCTTGTGTTTTTTATTTGGGAGTTGGTCTTTTTGTGTTAATTTTTGTTTGTTTGTTTGCCTGATTCTGTCTCTGTCTGTCTGCCTGTCTGTCTGTTTGCCTGTCTGTCTGTTTGCCTGTCTGTCTCTACCTTTGTTTGTTTGCACGGCCTTCAATCTCTGTCTCTGTCTCTCTCTTTCTTTCTCTCTTTCTCTCTCTCTTTCTCTATTCGTTCTTGTCTGTCTGTCTTTTTAACCTGCCAGTTTCTAAATTTCTTACTCTCCTCCTCTCTTATTTCTTCTCCTTTCCTCTCTCCTCCTTCCCTTTCTTCCCTCTATCAATTCCTCCTTTTCCTCGACTTTTTCCCCTCAACTTACGTTCCCTCATCCTCATCTCCTCCCCCTTTCCCCTCCTCATCTTCCCCTCCTTCCCCTCCCCTCCCTCTCCTCCTCTCACCTTAATTACCTCATAGAGACAGTCAATGGTTACCTGAGGGAAGACGAATTACACATCTAACGGATTGAGAGAGAAGGAGAAGGAGGGGGGAGGAGGGAGGAAGAGAAGATATAAATGAGGAAGAGCAGAAGTTGAGGAGGAAAGATGAGGAGAAGAGAACAGTTAGAAATTATTGATAAATTTTAGAAGTTCAAAAAGAAATGGGAGAGATAGGAAGAGACATGGAATGGGAGGAGAAGGAGATGAAAGAGGACAATAGGCGGATAGACAAGGAGAATAGATAGAAAGAGAAGGAGATAAAAGAGAATAGACAGAGAAAGAGAAGGTAGATACACAATATATAAATAGACTAGTCACCTTTGTCTCCCCACGCCAGTCTCACCACTACAAGTTCTGGCCACGCTTGGTGAGGCATCACTCCCAGCCTTCCGGGATATTGGTGGCAGCTCTTCCTATTACTGGAGGCTGATGGGGGTGTCAGCTGGTGGAGGGTGCCAGCTGGTGGAGGGTGCCAGCTGGTAGAGGGTGCCAGCTGGTGGAGAGTGCCAGCTGGTGAAGGGTGCCAGCTAATGGAGTGTGTCAGCTGGTGGTGGGTGCCAGCTGGTGGAGGGTGCCAGCTGGTGGAGGGTGCCAGCTGGTAGAGGGTGCCAGCTGGTGAGGGTGCCAGCTGGTGAAGGGTACCAGCTAATGGAGTGTGTCAGCTGCCAGCTGGTGGGTGCCAGCTGGTGGAGGGTGCCAGCTGGTGGGAGGGTGCCAGCTGGTGGAGGGTGCCAGCTGGTGGAGGTGCCAGCTGGTGGAGGGTGCCAGCTGGTGGAGGTGCCAGCTGGTGGAGGGTGCCAGCTGGTGGAGGTGCCAGCCTGGTGGAGGTGCCAGCTGGTGGTGGTGCCAGGGTGCCAGCTGGTGGAGGGTGCCAGCTGGTAGGGGGTGCCAGCTGGTGGAGGGTGCCAGCTGGTGGAGGGTGCCAGCTGGTGGAGGTGCCACTGGTGAGGGTGCCAGCTGGTGGCGGGTGCCAGCTAATGGAGTGTGCCAGCTGGTAGAGGGCGCCAGCTGATGAAGGGTGCCAGCTGGTGGCGGGTGCCAGCTAATGGAGTGCCAGCTGGTAGAGGGCGCCAGCTGATGAAGGGTGCCAGCTGGTGGCGGGTGCCAGCTAATGGAGTGTGCCAGCTGGTAGGGGCGCCAGCTGATGAAGGGTGCCAGCTGGTGGCGGGTGCCAGCTAATGGAGTGTGCCAGCTGGTAGAGGGCGCCAGCTGATGAAGGGTGCCAGCTGGTGGTAGTGGGGATGAGGGATAGATGGTGTATCAAGCAATGGGGCGGGTGAAGGGTGGTATGGGTGGGTGGCTGTGGTCGGGTGGAGGGTGGTGGGGGTGGGGTGGGGTGGGTGGCTGTGGTCTGGTGGAGGTGGGTGGCTGTTGTCGGGTGGAGGGTGGGTGGAGGTGGACGCTGCAGAAAAACTCATATATGTTTATTATTTATGACATTTTCTTGGGATATTATGCGTGAAAGGATGAAATTTATACGTTATTATTATTGATGTATCTTAGAGGCTGTGTGTGTGTGTGTGTGTGTGTGTGTGTGTATGTGTGTGTGTGTGTGTGTGTGTGTGTGTGTATGTGTTTGTGTGAGAGTGTGTGTGTGTGTGTGTGTGGGTGGGGGGGTGGGGGTAAGCTGGATAAGAAGTCGTGGGTTTTGATTAATTTTTTCGCCCAAGGTGATGTCTCAGATTCGTGAGTGTTATTTTGTATTACTTTTATTGTATTTTTGTTCCATTGAAATTATTATTATTTTTGTAGTATTGTTTTGTATGTGTTGATCTGGTACAGTTTATTATTATTATTATTATTATTATTATTATTATTATTATTATTATTATTATTATTATTATTATTATTATTATTGTTATTATTATTATTATTATTATTATTATTATTATTATTATTATTATTATTATTATTGTTATTATTATTATTATTATTATTATTATTATTATTATTATTATTGTTGTTGATGCTGTTGTTGTTGTTGTTGTTACTATTCTTGAAGAAACTTAAGGCATTTCCTCTACCGCTCTTGAAATAAATTGACGTAATCTTCTCTCCTTCCTCTCCTTATTTACTCTCCTCCTGCCTCTCTTCTTTCCTCTTATCACACTTTTCCTAATGCTTATCTTCTTCCTCCTCCTATTTGCATCCGTCACCGTCTCCTCTCTTCCGCCTACTCATTCTCCTTCTCATCCTCTTCTTCCTGCTCCCCCTCCTCCTCCTTCTTCTTCTCCATCTTCTTCTCCTCCTCCTCTCCCTCTCCTCCACCTGACTGCTAACTAACCAACAGTAGGAATAGTTAGACAATTAATGGCTTCTCACTTGTGTATATGCTAATATTATATTCCTCCTCTGTGAGAGAGAGAGAGAGAGAGAGAGAGAGAGAGAGAGAGAGAGAGAGAGAGAGAGAGAGAGGTACCTCGGTATATCCTGGGAGATCTGGTTAATGTTATGTCGAGCAGTGATGGATAGACCTTGGGAGCCGATACCGTATATATCTTGGAAGACAGAGAGAGACTCAGGACACAGAGACAAACAAACAAACACAGGGACAAACAAACAAACACAGAGACAAACAGACATACACACACAGGGGGCAGAGTAACAGACATACTGATAGACAAACTGAGCCAGATAGACAAAATGACAGACAGACAGACAGACACAGATAGTAAAACAACGAACAGACATAGACAGACGCACATACAGCCAAACAAACATCATATCAAGGTGTTTTTTTTTTCTCACCTGGCTTAATAGAAATCAGTTAATAATAGTAATGACCGACTTTGGGTGTTTAGTCTCCAAGATATCTTCAGTCATTTCCACAGGACATTGCTCTCCTCCTCCCTCCTCCTCTCCTCTTCCATCCTCCTCCTCATCTTCCTCCTCCTCCTCCTCCCTCCCTTCCTCTCTTCCTCCTACCTCCTCCTCTCCCCTCCTCCTCATCTCCATCTCCTCCTCTTCTTCCCTAGAGCTATATCCATCTCCTGGCGTTAATGGATGTGTGATAATGATGATGATGGGAATAATGATAATAATGATGATAGTATTAATGATGTTACAGTTAGAAATAATAATAATAATGATAATAATAATGATAATAATAATGATAATACTAAATACAAGTACACAAATGTCTGTCTGTTTATGTTTAA